CTTACTGTCGTGCGTGTATGTGCGTGTACTGTTGAATCTGATAGAGAACTCGGTTCCCTATAGAGTTTGGTGGACCCTTATATTCTATCAATTGGTATCAAAACAGGTTCCTTCTATCAGGTTAACACCTAAAAAGGATCCTCATGGCTGCTCCTCCAAACTTCGAAGAAGGCCAGTCTACTTACAGACCACCTAGGTTCAATGGACAATATTATGGATGGTGGAAAATGTGGAAGCACGACTTCATCATGGCTGAAGATTCTGAGCTATGGGATCTCATATGTTACGGACCCTTTGTCCTTACCAAGAATCTTGGTGAATCAGGTGTAGTCATCCCCAATACTAGGAAAGGAATTCAATGACGCTGATAGAAAAGAACTTTCGTGCCGAGAAAATCCTTGTTTATGGCATTGGTCTTGATGAATATAATAGGATATCAACATGTCAATCAACAGAAGAGATCTGGGAGGCTCTTTAGATAGCCCACGAGGGAACAACTCACGTGAAGCAATCCAAGATTGATATGCTCACAACTGAATATGAGCTTTTCAGAATGAAAGATGATGAATCCATCCAAGATATGCATACTCGATTCACCTCCATTATCAATGAGCTTCACTATCTTGGTGAAAGTATTCTGAGAAACAAGCTTGTCAGAAAAATCCTTAGTGTACTGCCCAGTTCTTGGGAAAGCAAAGTTAACGTCATTACAGAGGCTAAGGACTTGCAGACACTAACTATGGATGAACTTGTTGGAAACTTGAAAACTTATGAAATGAAGAAGAAGAAGGACAATGAAAGAAGAGAGCCCAAGAGGGAAAAGAACCTGGTGTTCAAGACGGACAACAGTGACTCAAGTGGTGAAAACGGGGACATGGCCTACTTGACAAGAAGATTCCAGAAGATGGTTTGCAGGAATGGAGGCATTCCAAAAAGGAGAAGTTCTAGCAAGCCAAGAAAATATGACCTCTGTCATAAATGTGGCAAGCCAGGACACTTCATCAAGTGTTTCCCTCTCCTAAAGCAAGATCAGTACAATAACAACTTTGACAAAGTAGCCAAGAGGAACTAGGTTCCTGACAAACGCTTCAAGAGGAAGAACGATGATGACAATATTGTAAAGCAAGCTCTTGCTGCATGGGGAGACTCCTCCAGCGAATCTAAAGAAGAAGACGACCATGGTGGTAGTTCAATGATGGCAGTGACAAATGAAACAACTGAGTATGATTCTATCTTTGCTCTAATGGCTCAATCTGATGACGACGGCAATGAGGTAAACTTTTTGGATGTTCAGAGAAATCTGAAATCTTACTCGCCTAAAACGCTCATGTCATTAGCAATGCTAATTGATGCATACCATAGTCTCATCAATGATAAAGATGCATTAACTATGGAACTAGGGGAAGCTGAACAAACCAGAGATGACTTAGTAGTCGCTGTAGTCGATTTGAAAGAAATAATAGAGAACCTGAAAAAGGAAAAGAATGCCTTGGAAGAGAAAATTGCTAGTATAGAACATGAAAGAGACGATATAATGGTTGTTGTGGTGGACTTAAAAGAAACCATTGAGTGTGCAAGTAAAGAAAAAGAAATCTTAACCGAGAGAGTTGATATCATTGAGCAAGAAAGAGATGACCTAGTAGTGGTGGTAGTAGACTTAAAAGAAACAATTGAGGAATTTAAAATGGTAAATAGGCCTGAAAACTCTGAAAAAGGAAAGGAAGTTGCAAGTGAGGCACATATTAATCTTGAATATGAGTTAAATTTGGTGAAGACTAGTCTGTGTACTGAGCTTGAGAAAAACAAACAACTTCAGGAAGAACTAGGAAAGGTAAAGAGTGACCTTGAAAATTCACTTAAGTGGACCTGGTCCTCTGATGCTATCACTTCCATGTACAGAAACAATGGGGGATACAGGTAGGGGATTGGGTTTCAAAGGGAAAAAGTTCTCTACAACCCTCATAGCAAGTATGTTACTGTAACTGACAATTGGCTATGTACCTACTGTGGTAACAATGAGCACTTCAAGGAAAACTGCATGGCTAGGGTTCAGTCTCATTAGAAAAATAAAGTCTTTGCTGAGAGAGTAACTACTGCTAGAGGATCTGGTCTGTCAAATAGGAAACGCATTTTGCCTGCTTGGACTAAGAGAGCACTCATTCATCCCTTTTCTCTTAACAAGGGACCCAAACTCGTTTGGGTTCCTAAATCTAACCCTTGATTTCTTGTGCATAGAGCAGTGAATGTGAGCAGCCAATAATGGCATATGGACAGCAGCTGATCAAAGCACATGAATGAAAATTCGATCAATTCCTTCACTAAAAGCCCTGCAAGGAGAGTGTACCCTTTTGAAAATAGCTAAAAGGGGTACACTTTAGGAGTTGGAGGATATGTGTCAAGGGAAATAAAGTGAAATTCTTGTCCAGGATATGCGCAATCTCAAAACCTGTGACTGGTGAGGTGATGCTGTAGCCAAAAGATACAAGAATACTTATGTTGCTGGGTTTGAGCCTCTATAAAGCGGTGATATAAGTTAGTTGAGAGTTGTTGAAAACAATGCTGAACTATGGGACAAAAGGCCAGGATATGCAGGTGTTTCATCACTGGATAAACTGGCCCTGAAAGACCTGGTTCGTGATCTGACCAAGTAGAGTGTCAAGGAACACAAAGTGTGCAATGCCTGTGCAAAAGGAAAGTATGTCAGATCTCTATTTAAGCCCAAAAGGGGGCAGTTAGCACCTCAAGTCCACTTGGACTCTGCTCTTCAGAACCAAGGAGGAGGTATTTCAAGTAATTATGGCTTTTGTCAAGAAGATCCAGGTATAGATAGAAACAAACATGGCTTGCATCAGATCAGATCATGAAACAGGTTTGGATAATGCCATAGTGTATGAATGTTGTATTCAAAGAAGAATTACTCAATCGCTTAGTTCCAAGAACACCACAACAAATGGGGTTGTGTAAAAGAAGAAAGGGACTCTTGAAGATTGGGCACGGCCAATATTATTTGATAGAGGGATTGCAAACATCTTGACCATAGTTGCTGACTCAATTGAGGATATCTGGGTACAATTGTTATGCTCTCAACAATGGGAAGGATCAACTTTGAAAATCTGATCGTAATTGAGATGGAGGAATCTTCCTGACTCACTCGTTTCAAGAGAGAACATAAATACTGATCAAGGTAGAGAACGCTCATTGATTCCAGCAAGGAACTTGGTCCGGTGTCTACAACAATAGAAGCTGAAAAATGAGTTGTTGAAAAAGGTTTTGGCATAGAAGCATCACAGGTCATTTACACTCCCATTGCCACAGCTACACGCCCAGACATGGATGAACCTGGTTCTTCTCTAAATCAAACCATGCATAGAGACATCACTGAATCACTCCTGTATCTCACTGCAAGAAGACCAGACATCAGGCTCAGAGTTGGGTTCTGTGCAAGGTTTCAGTCAAATCCAAAGGATTCACATTTGAAGGCTGGTGTAAGAATTTTGAGATATCTTAGAGGAACACAGGACCTAGTTCTCTACTATCCTTCAAGTAATGGATAGAAAAATCTCGCTTGAAATGAGACATTCTATAGGTTCCCGTCTTGTCTCATGATGCTCAAGGAAGCAAAATTCAATGGCACTCTCAACAGCTGAAGCATAATATGTATCATCGGCCTCATGTTGTGCTCAAATGCTGTGGACCAAGCAGCAAATTGGAAGAACTTGAGTCCAACTCAAGAGGGCCAAATACATTGATTGCTGAAGATCAAGTCGCAGATATCTTCACCAAAAGCCCCAAGAAGAAAGCAGTCTGAGAAAAATTGCCTTGCACCGGGGGATGATAAAACCCAACTAAGAACCTGGTTCCTCATGATTGGTTATGAAAGTCGTAGTCAGGTAAAAGCTAGCTAAAGTGTTTTCTGGCTAAGTCTAACTCACCTCTATACCATTACAGGTAGACATGCATGATGACTACAGAAGCAGATGCTGCAGTGCATGCTGAATAAGTGGTTAAACTCACTTGCCAGACCTATCAGGGAACCTAGTTTTCCTGATACAGGTAGTAGCTTCTTTGTTCTTTCATACACAATTTAAAATGGACGAAAACAATGCCACATCATCATCAGCGTGCCAGTATCTTTAAGATGTGTCTTTTCATCCAAAGCGTCACACCTTTTTCTGATCGATACAACTCCCCAAGAAAAAGGGTTGCCGCCGTTTCAGAACCGTTCCTTCATCATAAATAAATCAACATCACAACCCTTCTCTTCCAAATTCAAAAACTTCTTCTTGTCTTCTCTCTTCTCAATTCACAGCCCTGCGAGTATAGTCTCACCATGTATGAAAGTCAAGCAACCTCCAGTGTGCTCGACAACACCGTGATTGAGTCCTCACAAGTAAGCATTCCAGTGGTAAACTCCTCTCCTAACACAATCACTAGTCCAAAACCTAAAGCAGAGTCTCCTCCACACTCCACTCCCTCTCCTACCCACTCCGAGTCTACTCCATATCTGAGCAAGTCTGAGAATGTTTGTCCTCCTCCAGTCTCGCCGGTCAAACAGAGTTAACTGAGTGAACAGGGTAAATAGGGGAACCTTGCTTAGGAATCATCAACCCTCTCCATGGTTAGGCGCTCGAGTGAAAATCCAGTGATTAGTTATGAAGAGACTGAGACAACCATGATAGGCCACGATTCTAAAGGTATCACTTCTTCTTCTGCTGAAATTTCCATGAAGCCACAAGAAAGAGAGGGGATAGAAAATATGCTTTCCATTTCTTTAGAAGGGATTGTTGTAGAGGAAGGTGGAGGAATGTCTGAGGGAAGAGCCTTATTTCACAGAAGATTGGGGAGCACTTGTTCCATTTGAATAACCAATCCAAGATGATACTACTGGGGTCCCAAATGATGAACCTGATCCCTCCGTGGAGGATCCAGGTTAGGAGTCATCTCCCTAGGCCAGTGTTGATCTTGCTCCTTTTCTCTACTTCTATGCTGAGCCTTTGAATATGGTGGTGCCTGAGATGAATCCTGACAGTGAAGAAGACGCAGATGATTTGGCATATGCTAGTTTTATCAGGGCTAGGACTAAGCCAATGGTAACTTCAGAGCCACTTCTTAAGCGACTCACTACACGGTTGCAGAAAAAAGAGGCTCTAGAGTCTGCTCTCAAGAAGAGTAAAAAGAGTCGGAGAAGGAGAAGGTTGGTCAAGGATGGAAACGTTGTACAAGAAAAGGATGTCCTTGTAGTTGATGTGGATGAGGAAACCAAAAAGGAACCTAGTTTCCTGACCCACAAGTCTTCAAGACTCTCTCTCTCTCAATCCAAAAGGCACAAAGGGTGTGAGAGTCCTTTCAAGAGTGTTGATGCAATTTCCAGTGAAAAGTTGGTAAAAAATTCTGGTGACAAGACAGTGAAGGAGAGTGGTGACAAGTCTGATGAGGAAGAAGTGGAAAAATCTGGTGAACATATACAGAACAAGTTAGTGGAGAAGGAAAAGTCTGTTGGCAAGGCAGTGAAAAGAAAAAGGGATGATGATAATGAGGAACCTGGTTCCATCAAGAAAGCAAAAGTTAGTGGGTCTCTGAGGTCTGAGAAAAGGATGTTGGGGAATCAAAAAGTACTGTGGGGCCGCACATTAGCCTCTGACATTCTAGAGATTGCTGGGATGAGACAATTAGTGGACATTTGTGATTCTCAACAGTGGACCAATCTGTTTAGAATTGAGGCTCCTATAGTGTATGAGGAGGAGGTACGGAGTTTCTACACCAGCCTCTTCACAGTAGATGGTTATCAAATCTGTGTGTTGATAAATGGGGTGGACATAATAATGGACTTTGCCTTATTGGGGTCAATTCTGGGTGTTCCTGCCGAAGGACTGTCATCTGTTCAGGCTGCCTGCACACCAAACTTCAGAAATGCCATTGTTAAGGACAAGGCAGTACAGCATGGGGAACAAGCGCATAAGAAGACAATCCTTCCAGTATATCAGTTGCTCTTTGAGATGGTTAACAATGTGCTGCTTCCCCGCGCTAAAAGAAGATCTGTTGCATCCAAAGACGACCTATTCCTTATGGAATCCTTGGATAATTTCACCACCATCAATTTGCCTGCCATAATGATTGAGCATATGCAGAAGGTAGAAAACCTTAGAGATGGGAATCTTGGACTACCTTATGGGTTCCTTCTCACAAAGGTCTTTGAGATTTTCAAAGTACCTCTAGGTCAGGCCAAAGTGGGCACCAAAAAGAAATCCTTTTCAAAAACTACTCTTGAGGAGTGTGAGTGTATTGACAAACTCGGAGGAGTTGGAAGCACTTCCACAATATCTCAACTGATAAATGCTCAGAATAGTGCCACAGAAGAGATCCGAAAGTTGAAGGCTAGGAACGCGATTCTTGAGAGTCAGCTCAGTCAGTTGCAAGAGGCACCTGGTTCCAGTAGTTCTCACAGCTCAGAAGTTACACGCCTAACAAAGGAGAATGCTGAGCTCAGGAAACAGGTGGAGGACCTGAAAGAAAGACTGCTCAATGAGCAACTGTCCGCGAATGCTCGCATGGATCTTGTCCTCGAAACCCTTGCTTCCTCTTCCAAGCCCCCTTCCTCCAGTGTCCCCTAAGGAATGTCCCCTCAGTGTCCAGTTTCTAGTGTATATCTTCTTAAGTTGTTTTTGGTGATGTTTTGTTGTTTCTGCCAATTTTTTTAGACTGTGGATGAAAACAATGAATCTGCTCCCACCTGTAAAAGTCCAAATCTGGTTAATGAAAGTGATTTCCTTTTTGCTGTCTATGTTTCTGCTCCTTTATTTCTATTTTTTATCATGTTGTGTGCACACAAGTGGCATGAGTTGGTTGTGCTAGACTTCTTTATGCTACTAACTTGTTCTGTGCTTTTTATAATGCCAAAAGGGGGAAGATTTAATTGAATAAAAATGAGCATAAATGAATAATGCTCCGAAGGGGGAGAAATACAGATTTAGGGGGAACTCATTTTTAGGGAATATAGAGATTCAGATTCAGGGGGAAACTTAAGGTCTTTCTGGTTCAAAGTCTGGTTCCGTTAGGTCTTTCTGGGTTTTTCAATTATGAGTTTGTCATCATCAAAAAGGGGGAAATTGATAGGTTACAAGTACTTTGGTCATAAGTACTTTGCTTTATGGTTTAATGATCTGACAACCTTACTATCCAGAACTAGATAATGAACCTGTTACACATTTACAAGACCTAGGATCACAAGGTTCCAGGTTGGGACTCAGCATGGGACATGATTCAAATCTTCAGAGTGGAAGGAATAGCTGAGGGAACAGGTACCTACCAGTTCCCGAGGAGACTGTGCGAAGTCAACTCTCCAGTTGGAAAGTTATTGCATGCTGACGCTACAGTGCAGGAACAATGTTGGAGTCAACTTTCCAGGGAGGACTTTTTACCTACCTTGCTTACATCATTGTAAGTGATATCACACATGTATATATACAATCAAGGGAGGTAAAATACATTCACTTGAACGGTTAGAGATTTCACAAACGCTCACTTTCGTGACCATTCAGCAAGTAAGTGTCAAGTGCTTCAAGAACAAAGAACAAAATAACTACGGACCAGTTCCCTCGTAGAGTTATTGTATGTCCTTAGTTGAGTTGTAACTTTGTAATAAGTTCTTAAATTGAAATTCCTATCTCGCTTGTTTAAGAAACATTCCTCAGGAAACCCTTGTAAACCTTAAACCTGTGTGTTTAAGTCTTGGCTAGAGTTAGTCAAGTTGCAAAGTCTTTGTAATAGAGTTATTGCAAAGTGGCTTGTAATAGAGTATTACAAGTTAGTGAGGGATTAAGAGTTTAATTCCTAGGTTGCATAGGTTGTAATCTAAAAATTGCTTTGTAGTGAAGTTGAAAACCTACAAGGGTAGGTCGTGATTTTTAATCCCGTTGAGCTGGGAATTTTTCACATAAAATTCCTCTTGTCATTTACTTACTGCCGTGCGTCTATGTGCGTGTACTGTTGAATCCGATAGAGAACCTGGTTCTCTATAGAGTTTGGTGGACCCTTATATTCTATTATAATCTAATCTTAAATATTAAAGACTTGTTATTTTATTTTTCCAGCTACATTTTATTAGAAAACTTACAAAAGTAAGACTCTTGATTTTGTGTTCTAGTATCATTTCATTCTGACGCTCTAGAGATACCTCATGGAGTTTATTCTATTCCTTGCTTCTGAAGATGAGTTGAACACAAGCCTATAACATGATCTAGGTTTTCATGGTTTTGGACTTCAACTTTGAAACTTCTATTTACTTTTTAATTGACATTTGGTAGACTTATGGTAATTGGGAGGAGTTGAAAGTTATTTAAAATTCTAAGAGGGCCGTGTTAAAGTGGCATTTGACTTATTAGTAAAGTGGCATTTGACTTATTAGAGGGAGGAAAATTAGAAAACTATTCTGCATATGTCTTTAGTATTTTGTCATTAACATGATGTAATACTGTTGGATTTTTTATCTCCTGTATTTCGATGTTGTATTTTATGAGTATGTTGAGATGGATGTGTGAGTGTACCAGGAGGGATAAAATTAGGAATAAAGTTATACAGGACAAATTGGGAGTTGTCTCTGTGGAGGACAATATGCGGTAGTCGAGACTGAGTTGGTTTGGGCATGTTAAGAGAAGAAGCATTGACGCTCCTGTTAGGAGGTGTGAGAAGTTGACCATGGCGGGTTTGAGAAAAGGTCGAGGCAGACCTAAGAAGTACTGGGGAGAGATGATCAGGCAGGACCTGGTGCAGCTTCAGCTCACTGAGGACATGACCCTTGATAGGAGGGTGCGGAGGTCAAGGATTAGGTTAGAAGGGTATTAGGTAGTTGAAAGTTTCCCACTTTCTTACCGGTAGTACTAGTAGCACGTATGTACTTCCCTATTTCTCATATTTATATTACATTATGTTGTTTAGTTTATTTCAGTTATCGTATTCTCCTGTGGTTACTATTTCGGTAATACTTATTCTTTTCTCCCCCCTCTCCCCCCCTCTTTATTTCTTTTTCTTCTTCTTTTTCTCCCTCTGCTTCTTCTTATTCTTCTTCCTCTTTTCCTCCTCCCTACCTTTCTGAGCCGAGGGTCTATTGAAAACGGCCTTTCTACCTTCACTAGGTAGTAAGGTCTGCACACACTACCATTCCTATACCCCACATGTGGAAATATAGTGGGTATATTGTTGTTGTTGTTCTCCCTTTGTTACTTAAGTTTCCCCTTTATTTTTTTTCTGTATAATTCCACCAGAAACAATGAAATATAAATACATCTCCATCCCAACTTATGTGATAGTATCTGATTGGACATAAAGTTTAAGAAGTTCTTTTAAAACTTGTAGTATAAAACAAGTACATAGATATTGTGTGACTATAAATTATCTTATTAAGAATAAAATAATAAATTAAATATTAAATTTCTTATAAATATAAAAAAAATTATTCTTTTTTGAATAGACTAAAGATAAAAAATTATCATATAAATTGGAACAGAGCTACTACTACTTTTATATATATATATATATATATATATATATATATATATATATATATATATATATATATATATGTTAGTCATTGTGCCTGGAGATTTGACTGGAGTGATTAATCTAAGACATGTTTATGATTTTGTCATCACTGGGTGAAGACTAAAAGGAGCACTGTTAATGCAACAAAAAGAAATTCAAGTCGTGAAAATAACTTTATGTGAAAATATACATATAAAATTAGATACAATAAATCGAATGTGTTTCGACTCTTCGTGAAATTCAGGTATAGCAGGAATTTGTACACCAAACAATCTTTTTTAGATGAGCTTAGTTGATTGGGTGCTGCAAAAAGGAGCATGAAGGATGGTGCTCCCCATTTAGATAACATTACAGTAGTTGGAGTTCGCTGGGTCACAAAATTTGATGTTCTGGTCAACGATAAGTGTGATCCCATGTGTGTAAGATATTGGGGAATACGCGAGGTGTGTTTGTGTTTGTCAAAAAGCACAGTATTCTGATCTATTTCCCCACCCCCAATATACCTAGTTTCTGCTTTTGTTTTGTATCTCGTCGAGGAGTAACAAAAGGCAACCTTTTCTTTTCCTCTATATTTGTTTTTTATTTTTATGATAATGATTTTGATTGTCTGTTAATATAGCAGGGATTTATCGAAACGTGGGGGGTATGTGATTGGTAAATGTTGTAAATAGTTTTGTTTACCCAGAAAATTGGATAACAATTAAACTTATAATGTGATTTTAAGGACACATGATTTCACCTAATACCAATTGATAAATGTAAAGACTAGTAATAGAAATTAACAAAGATATAAAGCAAACCAGTGTTGAAACGTAGTTCAGCCCTCGAATTAGGATACCCTCGAGCTGGTCAGTACCAAATAGTTATGAAATAAGCAAGCTGATGAACAAGAGTATAAATTAAAGAGAAAGCGTTATATTGTTGATATCTCAGAGTGTAAGGTGGATACAAGATGATTAGAACCCTCTTTATACAGTAGAGGAATCCTATCTATGGTACAATCCTAATTACGGAAGTAAATCCCATGATTAGCTAAACAACTGCCCTTGAATTGATCTGTTCCGAGATTTCCTCCATGATCTTCGACCAGTCACGGATATCTCGCCTTTATGTTATTGTACTTTGCTCGATGTCTGCCTCATTTGGTCTCGATAGCTACTGGCCTCGATCTCGACAGGTAACTCAATCCTCGAACTCGGTACCTTATCCTCGTGCTTTGGTCTGATCCACTGCGCGACGACCTTTGATGCATCTCCCCTGGTCTCGATCAAATAGTAGAATCGGGTAGGTCTGATTTTAACCGTATAGAAGTTTAATGAAATATGAGTTGCACTTTATGTTGACTGAGGGTGCTTGAATATATGATGGTGTATCATGTATGATACACACACATATATATATTCTTTCCTGAAAAATGATATACTTCTATATATTATATTTTCTTTACTTTCGTCATATTAATTTCATCATGGGTTCGAAGCTTTACTTGAGAAAATACTCCGCATGCAAAGTGTGGCGAATAATCTTTCCATGGATGAAGTAAATAAATGACGTATGTAAATATATTACGTATGGTTATTTTTCTTTTTCTCAATTAGCGTGGATCTAAAAAGACCATCCAAAGAACTTACCTCTTATTGTTTTAATTAACTATCCGTAACTTATCGGCAGACTATTTGTGCTTTGTTAGATAACTATAGTGAGTTTTAGTGCTCCCTATTAAAGCAAATTTTATTTGCACCTTTGTATACTGTCGAAATCGGGCTCATCTATTGCATGACAGACCGGGGTTGAACATGATGGGTTAAAGATTGACCCCGGATTATATCGAACCAAGGTATGAAGTTAGAGCATGCGTTTTCGAGACCATCGAGCCCGTAGCTCCGGAGCCGACCCCAACTCCGACCAAGCTCAAGGAAATATTATCGGACCGAATTATGTAAGGCCAAAATATCCGTAATCGGTCGGATATCGCGGCGGGAATCTCGGCACGTATCAACGAGTGACCGAATAATTAGCAAATCATGAGATTTCTTACATCTTGTGGAATTGTATCTAAAGTAGGACTCCCCTA